CCTGATTTGCTCCCAACAATACTATATCCCATTATCTCTTAAAGGAGAAGCCTCTCAGCCAAATCAGTGCAGCCCCAATGCTAGTACAGTCTCTTCACCACAGTATAACCCTCCCACATTTGCTCCCAACAATACTATCTCCCATTATCTCCTAAAGGAGAAGCCTCACAGCCAAATCAGTGCAGCCCCGATGCTAGTACAGTCTCCTCACCACAGTATAACCCTCCCTGATTTGCTCCCAACAATACTATATCCCATTATCTCTTAAAGGAGAAGCCTCTCAGCCAAATCAGTGCAGCCCCAATGCTAGTACAGTCTCTTCACCACAGTATAACCCTCCCACATTTGCTCCCAACAATACTATCTCCCATTATCTCCTAAAGGAGACGCCTCACAGCCAAATCAGTGCAGCCCCAATGCTAGTACAGTCTCCTCACCACAGTATAACCCTCCCTGATTTGCTCCCAACAATACTATCTCCAATTATCTCCTAAAGGAGAAGCCTCACAGCCAAATCAGTGCAGCCCCAATGCTAGTACAGTCTCCTCATCCCAGTATAACCCTCCCACATTTGCTCCCAACAATACTATCTCCCATTATCTCCTAAAGGAGAAGCCTCACAGCCAAATCAGTGCAGTCCCAATGCTAGTACAGTCTCCTCACCCCAGTATAACCCTCACACATTTGCTCCCAACAATACTATCTCCCATTATCTCCTAAAGGAGAAGCCTCACAGCCAAATCAGTGCAGCCCCAATGCTAGTACACTCTCCTCACCCCAGTATAACCCTCCCACATTTGCTCCCAACAATACTATATCCCATTATCTCCTAAAGGAGAAGCCTCACAGCCAAATCAGTGCAGCCCCAATGTTAGTACAGTCTCCTCACCCCAGTATAACCCTCCCACATTTGCTCCCAACATTACTATCTCCCATTATCTCCTAAAGGAGAAGCCTCTCAGCCAAATCAGTGCAGCCCCAATGTTAGTACAGTCTCCTCACCCCAGTATGACTCCCTCACATTTGCTCCCAACATTACTATATCCCATTATCTCCTAAAGGGGAAGCCTCACAGCCAAATCAGTACAGCCCCAATGCTAGTACAGTCTCCTCACCCCAGTATGACCCTCCAACATTTGCTCCCAACAATACTATATCCCATTATCTCCTAAAGGAGAAGCCTCACAGCCAAATCAGTGCAGCCCCAATGCTAGTACAGTCTCCTCACCCCAGTATGACTCTCCCACATTTGGTCCCAACAATACTATATCCCATTATCTCCTAAAGGAGACGCCTCACAGCCAAATCAGTGCAGCCCCAATGCTAGTACAGTCTCCTCATCCCAGTATGACCCTCCCACTTTTGTTCCCAACAATACTATATCCCATTATCTCCTAAAGGAGAAGCCTCACAGCCAAATCAGTGCAGTCCCAATGCTAGTACAGTCTCCTCACCCCAGTATAACCCTCCAACATTTGCTCCCAACAATACTATATCCCATTATCTCCTAAAGGAGACGCCTCACAGCCAAATCAGTGCAGCCCCAATGCTAGTACAGTCTCCTCACCCCAGTATAACCCTCCAACATTTGCTCCCAACAATACTATATCCCATCATCTCCTAAAGGAGACGCCTCACAGCCAAATCAGTGCAGCCCCAATGCTAGTACAGTCTCCTCACCCCAGTATAACCCTCCAACATTTGCTCCCAACAATACTATCTCCCATTATCTCCTAAAGGAGAAGCCTCACAGCCAAATCAGTGCAGTCCCAATGCTAGTACAGTCTCCTCACCCCAGTATAACCCTCCCACATTTGCTAACAACAATACTATATCCATTATCTCCTAAAGGAGAAGCCTCACAGCCAAATCAGTGCAGTCCCAATGCTAGTACAGTCTCCTCACCCCAGTATGACCCTCTCACTTTTGTTCCCAACAATACTTTATCCCATTATCTCCTAAAGGAGAAGCCTCACAGCCAAATCAGTGCAGCCCCAATGTTAGTACAGTCTCCTCACCCCAGTATGACCCTCTCACTTTTGTTCCCAACAATACTTTATCCCATTATCTCCTAAAGGAGAAGCCTCACAGCCAAATCAGTGCAGCCCCAATGCTAGTACAGTCTCCTCACCCCAGTATGACCCTCCCACATTTGCTCCCAACAATACTATATCCCATTATCTCCTAAAGGAGACGCCTCACAGCCAAATCAGTGCAGCCCCAATGTTAGTACAGTCTCCTCACCCCAGTATGACCCTCCCACTTTTGTTCCCATTAATACTATATCCCATTATCTCCTAAAGGAGACGCCTCACAGCCAAATCAGTGCAGCCCCAATGCTAGTACAGTCTCCTCATCCCAGTATGACTCCCTCACATTTGCTCCCAACAATACTATTTCCCATTATCTCCTAAAGGAGACGCCTCACAGCCAAATCAGTGCAGCCCCAATGCTAGTACAGTCTCCTCACCCCAGTATGACCCTCCCACTTTTGTTCCCAACAAAACTATCTCCCATTATCTCCTAAAGGAGAAGCCTCACAGCCAAATCAGTGCAGTCCCAATGCTAGTACAGTCTCCTCACCCCAGTATGACCCTCCCACTTTTGTTCCCAACAATACTATATCCCATTATCTCCTAAAGGAGACGCCTCACAGCCAAATCAGTGCAGTCCCAATGCTAGTACAGTCTCCTCACCCCAGTATAACCCTCCAACATTTGCTCCCAACAATACTATCTCCCATTATCTCCTAAAGGAGAAACCTCACAGCCAAATCAGTGCAGTCCCAATGCTAGTACAGTCTCCTCACCCCAGTATGACTCTCCCACATTTGCTAACAACAATACTATCTCCCATTATCTCCTAAAGGAGAAGCCTCACAGCCAAATCAGTGCAGTCCCAAAGCTAGTACAGTCTCCTCACCACAGTATGACTCCCTCACATTTGTTCCCAACAATACTATCTCCTATTATCCCCTAAAGGAGAAGCCTCACAGCCATTGGCCGCACAATTAAAACTGCTATTCGGATTGAGTCATATCCACATTCATTTTTTGCATATCCATAATGCCTATTTGACCAATTATCGCCATTTCCCAAGTTCGCCGGTTTCCGAGAAATTGCTGATTTTGATGTCAAAAAGTCAAATTTCCTGTAAATACTAGACACTTTGTTGAAGTAGAACTTTCAAATAACTTGTAGTAGTTGCTGTATATGCAACTTATGTCATCTAAAGATTTCAAGCTCTTGGAATTAGTTTTTGGTTTTTACTCTATTAAATTTGACAAAAAGTAGGTCTAGTCATTTTCAGGAAACTTTCTCATGTATAAAGTCAATGGCAGGTTTTGTGATTGACAAGTTTCTCAAAGTTTGCCTTATACTTGATCATTTCTTGCAATAAATTACATCACTACTAGATTTAAGCATTCCCTACAAATTGCTCAATATATGTCAGCATCAATTTTTTACCGTTTTTGAGATATTTGACGGCAAAAAAACAGTAAAAATAAGTTATTTTTCAACTTGTGTCAATTTGACCAAATTTTTTTTGAAAATCATCTACAAGTTGCCAGGAGTTGCCCTCTACACTTCTCTCTCATTCTCCTATACCCTACTGCCCTACACATGTTAGCATGCATGTTACAATGATATGTGAATACAGTGTATATTGTTGTAACTGTAGTTACAGTTATATGTAGTTACAACAAATGCAATACAATGGATCTACAGAAAGAACAACAACAGGCAATGCGGCTTGCAAGAGCATCTATGCATTATTGATTCATTTTATAGCATTTATATTTTTATTCTTTTATTCTTGCTCAAGGTATCTGGTATCTAATAATTGTTTAAACAATAGACTAGATGCGAGTAGAAATAATCTTGATTTACATATTAAATATTCAAAATTCAGTCAAAGTTCGGGTTGATTCCTCATAGACCCCATGTTACAAAATCACAAAAAGTGAGATATCATTTCTTGTATTGGACAGATAACATTTTCTTTTACTGGACATATTTTAATTTACATAACAATTAGATACATAAGGGTTATATGAAAATTGAACCACTAAAACAGATGTTATTTAAGTTAAATGGAACATTCTGCTATACCCGCCATGCTATCTGACCGGAACAAGCCACCTGGTGGTGAAACTGGTAACTACTTACTCGCATCTCATTATTGATTCAGTTGAGGTCATACACAGGAGGCCTCTTTTACATTTGGTTAAATTTTGTGCTCAGATATAGGTTATATTTGGGCCATGGAGCCCAATCCATACCAGTATCTAACTTTTAAAAAAACAGGTGTCAGTCAGTGATAGTAAGGTCTTAAATTGGAGTCTATTCAAAGCAAAGACTACGGGATGTAAATTAAAAAATAGTAACCCCTACAATTAATGAAGAGAAAGAAAAGACAATGAAAAGACAATGATCCCAAGGCTCACATTTGCACATGAGCTAAAACATTTCTGAAAAATCATGTAAAAATACATGAGAGAGAAACTTCAATTTGTTAACAAATCACAAAATTTTTGGCTGCTTGCTACCTATAAACATTGGGATCTCCCAAAAATTAATATCAGTGAGATCGTCAACTATAAAAGAAAAAAATTAAGGCATTAAGGTCAATGTGTACGCTGGGAATTTTATACAGTCCGTCATTGAGCTATATGAAAGCCATGAAATGAGATCTTTATTCCATCTTGAAAATTTCTTCTTGAGCAGAGCTTCGTTGTACCTAGGTATCAGCAAAATTTGAATGAAATTCAAATGGTGGCCATTTTGAAATTCATCTGCCATCTTGAAAATTCCTTCTTGAGCAGAGCTCCTGTGTCCCTGGGGACATACAAAACTGAACCAGAACAAAGATTACATATTTTTTAAAGAAAAAAGTTGGCCATTTTGAAACTCAGAAGCCATCTTGAAAATGTCTCCTGGAGCAAGCTCCTCTGTCCCTTGGCATCAGCATGTAATATTTGAACAAGATTTTATACTTACAGTCTTCATCCTCCTCAAAACTTCTGTATGAGTTTGTGTTGTTGTTATCTGTCATGGTACCTTCAACAGAAAAATATGAATAAGGCACATGTTCAAGTAGTTCAACAACTGCAACCTGACCTATTCATTAACATGTATTTTCTATGGGGTCAGTGGATGCTTCTGACATTTTCACAAGATGATATTCCACTAGCCGTTCAAGTCAATAGAATTAAAAATTTGTATAATATTCAAGGGAAGTCACGTGAAAAATGAAAATATTTGCACCTAGCTTCCTCCCAAAGAAATCGCTATATCTATAGTCTGTTACACTGCTTCAAAGGCAAGCAGTTGAACCTGAAAAATAAGAAATCTATAGACCATTGTGCCATAATATAGAGAAAAATATATTCATATTGCACAGGAATGACATTTGTATATTTCAGATGATTTAGTGTTTAGTGCAATGGGCCTGTGCCCTCTTGTAATTTGAGGTCTGTCCGCCTTGTTATTTTTTTGAGAATTAACATGGTAGAGAAGCATCAAAATATAAGAGGTTACAGACTTTATGAGCCAATTTACAAGCAACCCAACATATACAAATGTTATCCGTGTGCAATATGAATATATTTTTCAATATATTATTGCACAATACAGGCCCATAGCCAGGGGGGGTTCGCAGGGTTCGGCCAAAACCCAGGTTTGCCGTCATCCAAATCCACCTTTGTAAAAATGTGAATGGTTCATAATTAGACTCGTTCATGTTATTTTCGGGAGTTTTCAAACCTGGATTTAATTGTTTTTATTAGAAGGGTTCCTCGTTATCAATTGTAACAATGTAGATTTTATCCCTGACAGACACAATAGAAAGTGCAACACTGGAGGATGGTATAATAGCGTGGCATTGTATTTAAATCAAATATTATTCATATATATGAATAAAAAAAATTTGTTTCAAGTCATATTAAGATATATCATCTTAGTCAAAAAAGAGAACGAACGAGTATAAGGGGTCTTCTAGCTTTGCACGTTTTAGACCAGTCAAAATACGTAACTACTTCCGATATGTTTAACGTCTTGGTAGATACAAAAAATGTACAAAATGTCCCCACCAATGGGTGATCCCATGAAATGGTTATCCTGAAAATGAGTAGACAAGACTTTACTGACACAATTTGAGGACGGAAAGTCCAAAATGGCCGCCTTAAAATTTACCCAGAATCCCCAAAAATTAGCTAGTTCTAGATTTTCATACTAAGAACCACCCCTGAAAATTTGAAATTGATCCGTCAAACAGTTAAACAATACTTTACAGACAAGATTTTAGGATGGAAAATCCAAAATGGCTGCCTTGACATTTACCCAGAATGTCAAAAAACTAATCAGTTCTAGATTTTCATACTAAGAATCATCCCTGAAAAGTTGAAATTGATCTACCAAACGGTTCACCTGAAAACGCGTAGGCAAGACTTTACAGACAAGATTTTAGGACAGAAAATCCAAAATGGCTGCCTTGACATTTACCCAGAATGCCAAAAAACTAATCAGATCTAGGTTTTCATACTAAGAAAATTTGAAATTGATCTAACAAACGGTTCACCTGGAAATGCGTAGACAAGACTTTACAGCAGGGCTTGCATTAAGGTAACTTATAACTTAATCAAAAAATCCAAGATGGCCGAAACCAGGAAGCACATGGCATTTGAGTATAATCTGACCATCAAAATTAAATGTCTTTTGGTTGGATTTTCTCTCAATTTTTTAGTTCCACTTATCATTTATATAACCAGGCTCATTGTGGTAATGCAAATAGAAACAGTAAACATTTTGGAATGGGAATTTGAGTCCTCTGAAAATGTGACAGAAAAATTGACAAAAAGAGTAGCACGGCAAAAGTCCCTGAACATTTCTTTTTTTCTAATTTCTCGAACTCCTATGCAGTGTCTCGGTATAGACACTGCGGCGGGCAGATTATGAAATCCCCAAAATTTGGGGAAGATAGTCCCCCTTTTTGTCACAGATGTACTTGTTTTTCACACAACTTATAAAATATATGTTCTTTTATGTTCATCAATAATTATTTTGTCAAAATATTCCAAAATCAATGAAATATAAGAGCAAATCCCGCGGAAGGAATTCTGAGTAAAAGTTGTGTTTATAAAAGTTTACCGCACGTGCTGTTTATTAGTTAATACGCGCAATTCAATCAATGAAATTGTCTAAATTTTACAATCACGCGACCTGAGCATGGGACTAGAACCAATCACGGCAGTTGTTTATTACGATGTTACCATGCTTACGGTGAGACACCTGCCCGCCGCAGTGATATATCACTGCACGGGAGTTCGCTAATTTCTCTGAAACATCCCTTTAATATAGCCCAAAATAGAAGGAGCTTTAGAATTTTGAAATCTCTCATACAAATTAAAAAAAATAGAAAAAAACAATTTGAGAAGTGTACTTTTTTCCTTATTTTGATCCCAATTTTTTTATCGGGTAATTTTTCAAATTTCCGTTGCTCCTTCGTTTTTGATATATTTTTGAAGTATATTTTCTGAAATGTTCAGATATTTTGAATCAGCGGTTTTCCACGGACCACTCCTAGAAAAAAATCTTCTCAAATTCTTTAAACGGCACTTTTTTCTCAAACTTAAGTTTTTTGTTGTTCTTTGATGTCTTTGTAATGATTACAGTGCACAAGCATATGTGAAATAATAAAAACGACTTCTCAGGAAGAGTTTGAAAATTTCAAGATTGTGAAATTTTCAATTTTCTCTGAAAATCGATTAAGTTAACAGTCACCTTAACGGCATCCCGTAAATGTTAAGGACTGAAAAATAATTTGGAGGACGCAAAAATTGAAAATATTTCCGTTTTTTGGACGCAATTCTTTTTTAGGTCAATACTACAATGTGTTTACAACGATACCTAACAAAAACAAATATTTATGAACTCTCACCTTTATTTGAATCGTAAGTAAGGCTCAACACGTTGAATATTTACAAATAATCATGATTCTCTCGAATTTTTTCGACTTTGTTTATTTTTAGATTTGAAACCATGACACGCCACAGTTTTTCCTATTCAGAAACAAATATTAGGTTATTCATGAAATAAAATATCTTCATTGTCGAATGAACGAACATGCATTTATTCAGTTTATGCACATCATAATAGTTGTTAGTTCAAAATGCAACCCGGACAATAGCAAATGCAGGCCTGTCAACTTGGGAACACCTAACATAAGTGACTTGGAAATGTTGAACACCTCCCCTCAAAATGTGGACACCTTGGTCCAAATCTGAACACCTTGATCCAAATTTTGAACACCTTGGTTTAAATTTTATTACATCTTGCCAAATTTTGAACACCTCAAATTTTTCGCTCTCGCTACGCTCGCGTTTCAAACATCCATCAACAGGGGGGGGGGGGGGTAGGTACGAAAAATTTCGAACGGAATGCGTGACATATACGTAATTCACGTGAAAAGTCCGAACGAAATGCGTACATTTTTTTTCCGGCGTTCGTATTTTTGCTGTGTAGACGATCTTTTTTAGAAATTTTTCTACAGAAATATTTTTGCTTGACAATTACCAGGTAAAATGCGTATTTGCGTGACATTTTCTGTCACGTAAAAATAACTGGCGTGACTTCAAATTCTTCAGCAAATGCGTGACAAATACGCAAATTGCGGGACAGTTGACCAGTACTGTCAACCCCTAAAAATTTTCTCGCGGGACAGATTTTTTAGACCCAGTGCCCAAAATTCGCGGGATTTTGCGGGACATCTACTAAATTCGCGGGATTTTGCGGGACATTTAAGGGATTTGCGTGATTGCGCTAATAGGAGATTTTTTTATCAAATTCGCGGGATTTCGCGGGACCATTCGAGGGACAAACACCCTAATTGGGGGACAGTTAACAGGTGTACCACCAAAAACTTCATAGAGGGACAGATTTTTTAGACAAAGTGCCCTAAATTTGCGGGATTTCGCGGGACATCCACCTAAATTTGCAGGATGTCCCGGGACATTCAAGGGATTTGCGTGATTGGGACTAATGTAAAAGCGTGTAGAAGTACTTAAATCAAACTTTCAGATACTGATTAATCAAATATAATGCACCGTTACATTGTAACTTAAATAAACGTCAACACAATTTCACAAAATACGCATAGGAATATTATTAAACTTTATTGTAATTTATCAAAAACAAAAACCATGCTTCAGGTGTGATTACCGTAATCTAACACGAAATTCAAAAATTCGGAACAATATTTTGCACTTCTGGCGTCGTGACCAACTATATAACGCTTACCCCCATAATGTTAAAATAATATTAAAATGTACCTATTCATATACTGTAGGCATGGGCTTTCAATTGAAAGCCCATGATATAGGGGTTTGATTAATCTACATCAAATTATAGGGAATGAGGTTAATTTTCTAGATAGGGTTTGTATAAAAAACCGGGTACCGGGTAGTAAATCCTCCATGCTGGGTTCAAACTTGGTACCCGGTCGAAAAAAACCAAAAAAAACGAAATATACGAATACACAACATAATTAGATCATTAGAAAACGTGTAAGATGTTTTGAATTTACAAAAATGTATGTAACTTCCTTCAAAATTGAGCTAGAAGCTTCAAATAAAAAGCATTTTAAGGCTCTTTTCTTCCTCTATCATCTTGGTCATATTTCCATTGGTAATGAAGGGGGGGGGGGGCGGGGTGCGATCGCACCCCCTCCTGGCTACGCCAATGACATTGTAAGACGATTTGAAAAACAAGACAAATCAATCTTACTCTATTTTCAATAGTTCGTATGTTGGTACGTGAATTGTTTTGATTATGATTTAAATCTGTAAATAGCTATCGTTGCTTTAGCAGAGAGGTGACGTGTGTTAATTTGCATGATGCAACGTGTAAGATTTTGATTATTAATCATAATTTAAGTTATCCCAATTTATGACAAAATGTCCACTGAATTGTAAATTGTTATGTCTTACAATGTCATAGGCGTAGCCAGGAGAGGGTGCGATGGTGCGATCGCATCCCCCCCCCATAACCAATAAAAATATGGCCATAACGATAGAGGAAGAAAAGTGCCTTAAAATATGCTTTTTATTTGAAGCTTCTAGCTCAATTTTGAATCATGTTACATACATTCTTTCAAATTCAAAACAAATCTTACACGTTTTCTCATAATCTAATTATGTTATATATTCGTATTTTTCGTTTTTTGGGTACCCGTTTTTTTGACCGGGTACCGGGTACCAAGTTTGAACCCAGCATGGAGGATTTACTACCCGGTACCCGGTTTTTTATACAAACCCTTTCTAGATATCAGCGTCCATTTATTGTAACTCGCGTTTGCTAACATTTGCTCAGTTCTGAGATGAAGGCCACACGGGTAGTAACAAGGCCAACGTTGGAACTATTTGTGACCTACATCCCTATTTTCGTAATTAAAATGAAAGTTGAACCCTTCCCCTTTATTTTGATACCAAACAACAGCATGCTAGGTTAAGGTACTTAAAATTAGGTAAACTTTACTCCTCAAAAGTGCAAAAACTTAGCTTCTTATATAAGATAAGATAATCAAAATATAGGGGATTGCAACAATTTCGGAAATTCGCGGAGGTCAAAGCCACATTTTGCGGGACTTCGCGGGACAATGCGGGACACGCGAATTAGCCTAATTTTGATCAAATTCGCGGGATAATCCCGCCATTCGCGGGACACTTGACAGCTCTGGTTGACAGGCCTGCAAATGTTTATGATTATAACTATTACATACGATGCAGATCATGATTTACCCACTAGTTTCCCAGTTTATAACTGCCTGTCGTCCTGCCGATAATATGTGAAACTTTTAAAAGATAATAGTTTGCACGTCAACTGCCGTGCAAAATATTGCACGTCACTTGACGGACATGACGGCAATTGCCGTTATTATCTATTGACATGCGCACTTATGCTTCATAATTTCACGTCAATTGTCGTGCAACATAGCATTTGCCGTACTTCACGTTAAATGGGGTTATCATCTCCACTGTACTTAGATTCATCACTGAAAATTTGAAATTGATCTACCAAACGGTTCACCTGAAAACGTGTAGACAAGACTTTACAGACAAGATTTTAGGACGGAAAAACCAAAATGGCCGACAATAAAAAAGTGATTATGAGTTTTTGCTGATTTCCTTTTACAAAATTATCACATATAACTACTGTTAACAATAACATAGGCTTTTTCAACAAAGTACACCTGAAATTATTTATAAAGCTACTAAATAGTTAAAGTATGAAAACTCAAAAAACACCATTCAATATGATACAAAGTATTATCGTGCGCTATAACTTTTCTTCAGACATTCAAAATGGCTGACATGACTGGGCTAACAGGTCCAAAACCTAATCAGATGTAGAATGAAGTGAGCTGAACAAGATGTTAAAGTTTTAAAAGCAACTGTGAAACCGTTTTTCTTAAAGTTTGCAGACAAGGATTTTAGCATTTGACCTCAAAATGGCCGACAGGAAGTAGCTATTGAGTTAATTTTTTTTATCCACATCTGTAAGCCCTCACAAGTTATTGCTGAAAATTTGAAGGTGATACCTGTAGCGGTTTTGGAGAAAACTGCCGGACGTACGGACGGACAGACAGACAACCAGACAGACTTACTTCGGTCCAAAGCCTTCTCTATATTCCGGCTTTGAGGAGGAAGATTGAGCTTCCTTAGTATTATAAATATTGTAAATCATTGTGTCACACGCACAGTAAATATGGCATAATAATTATGAAATATACCTTTATGTATAGATTTGAAGAACATAAGCTCAAATCCCCGTCTGAATCTATTGTTATATTTGATTTCTTTAAGCGAGAATAATTTCAAATTTTATTCACGTCCAGAACCGGAAGGCATTTTTAGCTACAGCGAGAAAATTTCACCATGTGTCAAACTCCGAAATGAAATTTTGAAATATCTAAATCCAGACAAGCAACGCTTCATCCTAAATATGATTAATATTCTTAAAAATATTTATAAAATTTATTAAAACTGAGTTCTAGGTGCGTGTAGCACCTTTTCTAGTGTACATACGAAATCAATGAAGTTGCGTCTAGCTGTAAGCTAGAGACTCGAGTAAAGACAGATAACCAGACAGACGGACGGACGCGCCTAGGACGACAATATGGCCCCACACTATGTGGTGGGGACATAAAAAAATTACACGTATAAAATTCTAATAAAACGAACTTTTATATTTCGTGGCCTCATTAAATACTTATTTCATTTGGAATGGCCTTAAACCCTGATCCGCGAAACAAACATTTAAATAAGGGATTTGCTCACCCGGGTCTGACTGTAAACCTCCTGTTCACTGTCGTATGAATTATGAAAACAAACAGTGAACCCTGCTTTCCCAAACCCGGGTTTCCAGGATTCGTCTCGCATGCCTTCGACTCTTTCTCCATATTTGGGCCAAAATTGACAAATGTGAACCCCCCCTGGAAATTTTTGAAAACTGAACCCCCTTGGCAAATCCTGGCTACGGGCCTGCAATATTATTTATATTTTTATATTTCAGGTTTAACTGCTTGCCTTTGAAGCAGTGTAACAGACTGTATGTATAGCTGTTGTTAGTTAGTTGTAAAGCATGATATCTTGGACACCTGCTCAAAATGCATAGCCATCATCTAAAGATGGCCATTTGCAAAGTAGACATTTTATCTACTGATCTACTGTACTTTAGTAACACTTTTGATACTTATTGGATAGGACACAAAGAATCTAGGTAATCTACTCTAATCTAAGATAAGCTTGGGTACTCACCCGATTCCGACTTCCACATGGAGAGAGGATTTTTGGGTGATTTTTGAAAATTTGAAAAGCATGAACTTCTCCAACTAATTTCAACTCGCCAGATGTCGCTTTGGAGTTAATGGCGGTAAATTTGAAAGTTTAAACTTTATAATATGAGCAATTTTACGATACTGTGCAGCGTCTTTAAAATTGAATCTATGCATTGTAAAATGTTTATCAGTTCAAGTTGAACCAAAACCTTGTGATTTTGTGAATCAAGAAAGTTATACCTAGCCGGGGCCACAAGACATGTGAGATAAGAAACCAATTCCCATGCTAGGTTTAATCTGAGACTAACATAAAATTTTATGTTAGTCTCAGTTTTAATGTTGTTGGACTAGAAGTGAAACACCTTACTCAAGACAATCGATCACTGAACACAGCAATAGATCTACCCATTTCTGATTATTAGTTTTTTTACTTTGATCAATCACACAAGATCAAAATTTCTGTCTTATCAGGTGCTTATCAATTCCATTCTTGAATTGATTTATATCTGTGTTGTCTTTGGGCTCTTTGGGGAAGATTGTTCCATGGGGGGGGGGGGCATTCCATGTGTTGACGATTCTATTTCCGAATCATTTTTCCTTGTATCAAGTCTGCTGTATATGGCTTAATTTTATTCCTCTCGTCATCTGATTTTCTGAATTTTGTGCAATCTTTTGTCATTGAGTTTGATTGTTTGATTCTGTCAACCATTCACTATCTTGAATATTTGTATTAGTCAATAGTCACCTCTAGTTCTTCTGTATTGGAGGGAGGGGAGTTCCTAGTTGTTTCATCTTTTCATAGTAGCTTGTAAGTTGAAATGAATATGGCAATATAAATTGTATTATTATTGTTTGTTTTTTTTATTTATTTTTTTATTTTATTTTTTTTTTATTTCCATATAATACCAATTACAAATAACATAACCAGAAATTAGCAACAGCAAAAACAAACTTACAACTTTCTTATCATCATTTCATAATCAAATAAAAATTCTAAATTTGGATGGTTCCCTTTCTTAAATTTACTAATTACATTGTGTGCAATACTTATTACAACATTTACTTCTTGGTCTCTAGTACCTAACATCTTTTCTGATGTACTAAGGTTAATTTTTTTGTTTAATTTTTTAAGACAGTATGTTTCCACCATCACCCAAACTTGCTTTATATATGTACAATCCACAAAAAAGTGTTTATATGTGTCTTTTATATTACATTTTTCACAGTTGTTTGATTCTTTCTTTTTCATTTTATAAAGTAATTCGTTTGTTGGATATATTTTATAGAGTATCTTATAAAAAAGTGACCTTAGCCTAGGCTCTTTTAAACTTTTAACTGTTTTAAAAGCCAACTTCATGTCTACCTGGCATTCATTTCTCCATTTTTCAGGAATATTTGGAATCTCTTTTTCATTCTGAATAATTATGCTTTTAAATTCTTTTAATTTTGCTGTTGCTATTACAATATTATTATACATGTGTTCATTACTATTATGCACAATGGTTTTGTTGTCCAATAAAGATTTTATTAAATTATATTGCATTCTAAGATCTGGTCTTGGACCAATGACATTTACTATTTCATCAAAATTCTTTATCTGATTATCCTTATTAAGAATATGTTTAATTTTTTGAATTCCCTTCTTAACCCATTCATTAAAAAATAGAACCTTTCTACCATATCTTAAACTGTTATTGTTCCATATAATATCATTACTGTTTAGATCATTATGAACATCTTTATTGTTCAACCATTGTTTTACAAGTTGTACATAAAAATATGGTATGGACTCACATTTCAATCTTGGTTTCAACTCATCAAATTTTATATTGTATTCGAATACATTAACATGACCCATCTTTTTAATAAAGTATAAGAACATATGCCTCCAACCTGCATCCTGATTTTTTACATCTTTAACTCTTGAAACCCATACCATTAGTGCAGCACTTTGCACTGAAGTAATATCAACCATATTAAGCCCACCATTGCTGAAGCTTTGTCTAAGTATTTTCCTTTTAATTCTCTCCCCACCTCTATATTGTTGTTTTAAATTCCAAATATATTTATACAAAATGTTATTTATTTCCTTCAAAACTGTGTCTGGTGCTTTAAAAACCATTAATAAATTTGTTATTTGTGACGACACTAGACTTTTTACTAAATTGATTCTGCCCATAAGGGACAAAGATCTATGGGACCATGAATTAATAATCCTGTTCATTTTATTAATCTTATTAATCCAATTTTCATGTATTGAGGCAGCAGATTCCCTATTACCGAATATTACCCCTAAAATTTTTAACTTTGCATTATTACCTAATTTCCATTTTTAATCCCGCTGGTGCTTCAAGACAATTTTTATTTCTTCCTATCCACATTGCTTCTGACTTTTGCATATTAAGTTTTAATCCAGAGACTTTATAAAAATCCTTAATTATATTTAACAGTTCAATGATAGATTCCTTGTTTTTTACAAATACTGTTGTATCATCAGCATAGACAGTTAATTTTATTTCTTTATTATTCGGCAATTTTATCCCTTCAACATTATGTGACTGACGCACTATTATTATTGTTATTATGTCTACATGATGAAATACATGAATTTCATGTAGATCTTCATCAGTGCATGTACATCATTTATCATTTTTTGTAGATGACTTTCGTGTCTTGTAATAAATTCAATATAATACTCAATCAGAAAATGTGATTTATTAAAATATGAGCATAATCAAAATCTGGATGCTGAAAATATAGTGAACATGGTTGAAAAGAAATTAAAAATATTATTTGTAGAAAATTGGAAACATGACTTAAATACTTATCCTATATTGAGGGTGTATACATTATTGAAAAGTGATTTTGTAAAAGAATTGTATTTGAAGCTAGATAACAAAAAATATAGATTAACTACAAGTAGATTTAGAATAAATTCTCAACGATTAGCAATTGAAACTGGAAGACGCATACAAAACCAAAGCCAAAACCTATAGAGGAAAGATTATGCAATATTTACAAAGATTGGGGATGAGTGTCATTTTTTATTGACTTGTACAAAAAAATGATGAGAATAGTCAAATATTATATATGCAAGCAAATGAAATTTTACCTAATTTGGATTTATAAAGTGAAAATTTATTTGTCAATTTTATTTCGACTTAAAAAACATAACTCTACAAAGACACATTGGAAAATTCATTTACCATTCATTTAAGAAGTTAGCATAGTCAGATCTATAGGGGTGTCAAAATTACAAGCAACATGTACAATTGACCTACCAATCTATTCCTTACAATCTCAAATACAATATCTCCCAAAATATTCACGATATGTAACAAATTGGTGAAGTTATTATGGATTCAAAGTGCAAAAATGGGTGAAAAATGTTTAAATTCTCCCAAATAATAAGAATGGTAACCATTCTTATTGAAAAAATAATACATTATTGTAAAAATCTTTAGTTTTCCTGAAATAAACTGTGCACTATGGGGATATTTAGAAAATAGACATGATGTAACAACCCACCAAATTCAGATACACTTAGCATAATTTTTCTTATTATTTGGTGTGCTGTTACTGTAATTATCTCTATAATTAGATTTAACTTTAATTGTTTTTGTATGTTTATACGTGAACTACAAACAGGTTTAAAATTTGACAATAAAAGGACGAACCATTTAGATGACAGTCAGTTTAAAATAAGTCAGTTTATATAACACTACAACAAAACTAAAACTTATCGCTAGAGTGTCAAGAGTTATCATGGGTAGGAAATACAAATTAAATTGATTAACCATCTACAAGGTACAGTGACAATATATACCTTAGTACACTTTAGATGTGCGATGTCACTAATTAACCGATTTGAAGCAAAGATAATGATGTTTTGATGTAGGTTTTAAAAAATAATCTGAGGAATACGTTTAGGATTTCATGTTTGATTTTTGTGTATTTGTTTAGGAAGACATTTACATGTAACTTTCTAATTACGTTAAAAGATTTTCGAACAGTGTTCAATCATTTCTTCCCCTGTCGTCTAAGAGTGCAAATGCAGTAAAACCTGTCTAAGTGGACCAAAGATACCTCTAAAAAGTGTTCTATTTGGGAGGTGTTTCACTTACAGAGGTTCATTCAACATTTAGTCAGTTGGTCTCCAGGGACTCTGAAAAACATTCCACATTTCATATCAAGTAACATTTGGAGATATTTTAATGCCTTGGTTTATATTTATTTCAAACTTTGAATGCTGCAAAATGGTAAAATTGAGCACACCCTCTTTTCAACATTCTTATGGGATATGATTCTAAAATGTTTCAAATAAAATACTTCCCATTGTCTAATAATTGAAATCTTCATATTGTTATATCAGACAAAGTCAGTAGATGTTCCTTGAATACTAATAAGTGTTGCATCCCAATGCATTTTTAATTTGAACCTAAAAAATGAAAGTTTTTTTGCCAGTTTCAGCAATCGTCAAACTTTGGGGGCTGTGGGGAGGGGTTCTTCAACTCCCAAGTTATACATTTTTTACAAATTCATGTGACTATTTACCTCTAAAGGAGCTCTTAACCTAGAGAGCATAACGCATAAGACCTTTATACTCATTAAAGAAAGTGAAATGTAAGATTAGAACCTGATTATCAAGCGATGTTGCCATAGCAACTGAGATGTTAGACATATTACATAACTGTTGCTATAGAAACTGATTAATATTTTTTCTTGATTTTCGCCATACAAATTAAGCATCATACTAAAAATACTTCCTGAAAATTTCAAGTCTGTATCTTTATTAGTGTCTGAGATATAAAGGTGTCTTATAGTACCCCCTGTAGATTTTATTAGGGGGGTATAAGAAATGCTCTTTAGAGAGTTGCCCAAGGGTGCCGCTCCGGCATTCTGTGGTTTTGAGGTTCCAATTCTATTTTCATGCTGAAAAGTTCAAAAGACATTGTAATCCGAAGAAAACGATCGATCCTCAAAATACCCCATATTCACGCCCGGGGGTCGTGAAAATGGGACGGAGGGGGGGAGCAGGCAATTTCCGCTAGAAAATTCAACAAATCTGGTAAAATTATTTTTTCAAGACAGAGTTTACGATTGAATTGCAAATTGAATAAGCGCACGGTATGATAAAATATGTTAGGTATTCTAGGATTATTTTTCAACCGATACTCTTTTAAGATATAAGATCTATTAAAAAAGGCGCAACGCAACCAACGTGCAAAAGTCAAAGTTTTTGCTATAAATCAAGCAACCATGGACTACACGACCTGTAATAAATACTTGTAAGTGATGTTATCATAACTAAATTAATGTCATTGCTGAATTTATAAAATAAGTTTCAATACGTAAAATAAAAAATAATCGAAAATAATTAAAATGGGATGGAGGGGGGGGAGGGGACGGAGGGGGGGAGTTATAATTCTATAAAGTGAAACAACTTCACACGAATTGTTGTATTTGAAAAATGATCTCATTAACTTAGTAAGAAACTGAATGATATACCCCTGGAGACTGAAAATGGGGACATTTGGAGTAAAAGGACTTAAAGTCGCGAAACATCTCTAATCATGTCTTATATACATATTGCTCCCCCCCTCCATCCCCTCCCCCCCTCCGTCCCAAGTTCATTATTTTCGATTATTTTTTATTTCACATATGGAAACTTATTTTATAAATATATATTTCTTCCAGACTAATATTTTGACACTGGTCGATGATCGTTGAATGGCTCCCCTGCACTAATTGTTGCACCTTTAATGAGTGATTTTACAATTATATGCTCATTCATCAAATGATCGATCGCGATCATATCGCTTGTTGTAACTGCTATTAAGTATGGATTATATAATTAATTAAATGAAAATTGATTGATTTTGATTTGGCTTTTGAGTGCGTTCAATTTAACCTACGATGGCAAAACTCCAGCATTTAAGATGAACATTTTTGAACGCAGTTTTCTATTAAGTATTTTCATATCCAATATAGTGGTTACTGTGAATGCGTCTTGTTCAAAAAACAAAGGACCGAAAAATCTAACACCAACAAACTATACTGTCTATAAAAAAACATTTACAATAATTGCTGATGGTGTGCGAATTTCATCCATGCCAACCCTGTGGCCAAAATCATGGCAGGACTTTTGGGAGGATACTGGATCTACAGCAGTTATCAAAGGTAAGTGATTGTCATGTATTTGGTAATTGTCTTAGCCATATAATGAATGCAGTAAAAGAAATTCACATGTAGCTTGGCAAATGTGTCCAATTCCAGCCAATCCGAACACTGCACTGCATTATAGAGGGTGATCATAAAGTAAGATCAAAAGTGCTCTAACTTTTGTAAATATTAATGAATTTAGCTCACTTTCTCACAGAATGTTGATCTGCTAATTATACATACACAAAATAAATTTTAATATGTTACATTTAATATTGTTTGTTCTATGGTAACCATGGCAACCCGTGTCAAGGGTACCCGGAGCAGTCAAAAAATGAAAGAAAATATTGCAATGTTTCTTTCTTTCAATGGTTTTATACTATGGGAATACAAACATATTTTGTTACATTCAATGCATTCTTCAATCTTGTGTATCATCATTTTCTCAGATGTTCATTCTAGGTGTTCCATATATTTGCCATTATGTTCAACACATCTTTAAGGATGTTTAATCCATGAAGTCCATGAACACATGTTTGAATCCACCTTCACTTATCACATGCACTCCGACGAATACCATCTTTTTCAGATCCTCGTCCGTCATGAAAAAATCTCTTCATAGTTCAACTTGGGTTGCCATGGTTACCGTACAATGCAGAATATTAAATGTAACATGTTGACATTTATTTTGTGTATGTATAATTAGTAGATCAACATTCAGTGAGAAAATGAGCCAGATTCATTAATATTTACAAAAGTTAGAGCACTTTTGATCTTACTTTATGATCACCCTGTATAACCAATCACCACACCCAAGATTATTCATTGAATGGTTGTCAGGGTGACAGCTGAACTTTACATATTGACCCTTACAAAAAGTTTCATTGAAAATATGTTCAGTTAGTGATTTAGTATCTTTAAGGTCATTTCGGAGAAAATATTTTGCATTTTGTGAAAAGAATTTAATCCCAAGACTTGATGCATTGTGGCTGATTCATCCACCCAGGCATTGTTCCCTAAACTTTGAATTCCCGCTGCGCAGTCATGCAAATATTTGAAAACAACACCTTCGGAGGAATGATTTAGTCCAGGGCTTTAAATCCTTCAACAAATCATTGACATCATTTCATTTAACTGTTTAAGCACTATTTTTAAAGGAAGAGACTTCATCAACTGGGCTCAAGAGAGATACGGCATCGACGCTTATGCTCTAACAGATGAACAGCTAACAAATGGAGAGGAGGTTGACTTGGGGGGATTCGTCTTTCGGCCTTACATGCCTGCACCAAAAGAATTGAATTTTAGACTGCTAACTGAAACAACAAAGAGGAGAGTAAAGTTTTACAGGAATACAGAAGTCAGAGAAGCGGCGTTCGTATTACACATCAATGCAGAGTATAATAGCACAGGTAAACCCTATAACACAATCTGCTACTGTCTAGTTATTGTTGTCTAGCTACACATGCTATAACATTACGTTTTTGATGGTCATTAACATAATCTTCATAGTGAAGTAGTAAGAATTCCTAATATCCACAATATATGAACAATTGATCATATACTCCAGAGTTTTCATGTAATATTATTATAAGCCTTCCTGGTTTATATCAAAGTACATTATGTCAACTATAGATCACAGGCCCGTAGCCAGGATTTGCCAAGGGGGGGTTCACTTTTTGGAAAATTCCAGGGGGGGGTTCACTTTTGACAATTTGGGTCCAAAAAGGGCCAAAATCACTTAAAAAGTGCTCAGAATGGTGAAAAACTGCATGATTTTGAAAGAATTTTTGGCCAGGGGGGGGTTCGCCCGAACCATGCGAACCCCCCCTGGCTACGGGCCTGGATCAGTTTAATTCGATTAAAACCAAAGATATGGTATCGACACTTGCCCGCCCCCATCTTAAATGTGAAGGTGATGTCTGTAACCTTCGCTTGATACTGACAAGTGAATATCCATAGTTCTCACCTTCTCTTACTAACATAAATAGATGAGATGAATTAATATTGCTTGTATTACGCAACCTTAAATTTCAAAGTAGGATTTCCAATTCAGGTAATTATAAATATTTCTAGGCACTGTTAAAGTGACGATCCCATCAGGAGCAGTTATATTTCTCGGAGCCTATCTCATCGACACTACTAAGGAATGTGGGTTCAACAGCAACGCAGACATAATCATCTTCACAACCAAGACATATCTTCAACGGATTGGTGGAATGGCACCTTTGCATTTTGATACAATCTCCAACAAGTATGGAGTAGGGGAGCTGATTGGTTCATCTATTGCCTCTCCCTCTTTCTTTAAGGAATCCGCTGTTCTGTTCTTTCCACCGACATACAATGGACCGTAATGACTACTATTAGTTTGTTTCCATTTATCATTTCAAAAATGAAAAAAAACAATATGAAATAATAATTGCTGTTTTCTGGTTTATCATATTTGCAATGGTTATATGAAATATAGCATTTTAATCACCTCGCAATTTCAATTTTGATCTTTACAACTGATCAGAAAAATCAATGACCAAAAGTATCATCCTTTGTCAGAAGTGTCTGATAATCTTGTTGTTTTTAAGATAGATGGCACATCTGAATTTCAACCGATACTCTTCTGAAAGTTGATTGTCTACTCTCAATCTTTTGTTTTATGAGGAATATGAGATGTTCAAATTGAATGTGGTTTAAAAGTGAATATGGACGATACAAAGCAACACAAGGTGAATATGGTTGAATATGGACAATAAAGCAACACAATTACAGTAAAACCTGTCCAAGTGGAACACCTTAAGAACCTCAAAGTGTTCAATTTGGGAAGTGTTCCACTTAGAGAGTAATTTGGCTTGGGGACTCTTAAGTATTCCACTAACAGAAAAAATAAGGAATATTGGGCATTCTAAAAAGGAATTTGAGGGTACTAATAAGAGGAAAGCTGAACATACATTCAGAAGACTACATTATATATTATGACCAGAGTTATTAACCATATTTGGTAATATGTGAAAAGGAAAACAACCAAAACAAGATCAATTACAGTATATACTGTAAAATGGAACACCTCTTTAAGTGGAACACCTCACAAGTGGAACTGTTTTTTAAAGTCCTGTGGACCATTGACTCGATGTTTATGAACCTCTGTAAGTGAAACACCTCACAAGTGGAACACTTTCATGTGGTTCCAAGAGTGTTCCACTTTAACAGGCTCTACTGTAGCAGGTACAATTTACATTTGTTACAGACATCGAACACCAAACACCAACCACCATCCAAAAAGTTGGTGACATAATAGTAATTAGATGATGCAAAATAATACCAATGAGAAACTAAAGCATCTTTACACAAGAAACAAAACAAAATGCTGATTATTTTTCTATACATAGTATATATATTATTTATTTTATAGCTTAAACAAGAAATATTTCTTCATCTATACATTATGTGGGTACCCACCTAAGTCCAATATATGGTAGCTATTTACGCTATTTTCATATTATGTTCAAATGACCATTTTGAAACATATATTTTGATACATGAGTCGACACCAGAATTCAAAGATTAACGGTGCCGATTAATAGTGCCACTTTATGGTACATTTAAATTCTAAACACATCTATTAGAATTTGCACCTGTGAATGAGAAAACACTCCAGTCTGTTTCCATGGTAATCAACCTAAATTTTATGGAAAGTATTTTCTTGCATTTCTTTACAATTGAGAGTGATAACTACATGCCTGTTCACTTATTCCTCGCTAATTTTTCTCTTTTCCCTCATGTTTCATTTTAAAACATGGACATTGTGATATTTGACAAACAGGAAAGACAATTTTTGCTTTCATACAATCATGTTATTTTGGCATAATTTCATTTAAACAACACCTAACAGCTGAAAATAATTAACAATATGATCTAATTTGCTTGAAATTATAAAATCAGTAATTGTTATTAACAATTTCATATCATTAAATCATTTTTTGATACAACCTTAACAAATCAATTTTCCCAAAAATATGTCACAACTATGTCCTATCGGATTATCCATTTCATTCATATTTTGTGATTTCAATAGAAATAATTGAATTTAAATTATATATGTATCGGCTGTACAACATGTGGTTGCCGTTACATAACCAATGCATTACTATTCTTATTCTTATTGCCTTAGAATTCATTGTGTATGTATTTAACTAGTGCGATGTAAAATTTCTGTGAATATAATTGAAAATTAAACAAGACATTCGTGTAAATGCAGGAGCTAAATGCAAAATACGACCAACATCAAAAAATTTGCAGAAAATGTTAGCACAGGTTAAAAATTTATTGCACAGAGATTAAAAAATATCTCAAAATTTTGCACAACCATTTCTAAATTTCAAAATTGAATTTTACAAAATTTTTTAGATAGATCAATAACACATCACAGTAACACCTACAACATACAACTCTTGGCATATTTACTCTTGGCATATAAACATTTGGCATAAGAAGAACAAGGCCAATTAGTCAGATAGTTTTTTAAAGTCCTAATTGTTCCATTACCAAGAGTGATCAATTTATAGAGGTGTTCACTTGAAAAAGTGTTCAGTTTACAAAAGTGTTCAATGTACAGATGTGTTCTACATACAAAGGTGTTCAAATGTACAAGAGTTACTGAACATACAAATCATAATTTCAGTACAAGCAAATATTGGAACTACAATTTAAGTGACATAAAACCTTATAAACCTGATATAATTTACCATATAATATTTTAGAGTACAAGAATTTATGAATCAAATACTGCAAAAAGTTCTTCATAAATTTTTTTTTATGAGCACAATTAACTAAATGGTTCATTTCAACAGTGAATGCCATATATGCAAGAATTCTGTCAATGCTTTATTTACTGCATTAATCCATTTTGAAGCACATCTACTTGGTTACATAGTGTGTCATCTAATTTATTGTACACTGTATGCCATTTGTGATAATCATGGCAGAATATCTCATTTTTTACACAAATACAAAAATTCCCTGTTTCTGTCCAAAAATCACAGTCGCCACGCCACCTTTGGGCATTTATTGGAACCATTCCGATCAATTTCAAATCCATGTGAATCCAATCTTTTTACAGTTCAATCCTCCAAAAAGTCAATACTTTTTCTGATCCAAATCATTTTTCTATTATCCAGAAAACTTTTTTAACATAAATGAGAAAATTGTAGGAGTGGTTACAATAATTGCTGTTTTATATAATTCAACTATGAAATTCTGTTTGTTAGAATACCGCACCTACTGCAGTGCCATCTTTTTTACTCTCATTATCCTCAGGAGAAGTGCTATTTTTATCTGTCTTTGTATTCACTATCTCGTCATTAGATAAATCAGATAACTTATCTAAACTATCACCAGATGTATTCAAATTTACATCAAGTTCCGTATTTGCATTTTCTTTATCATCCACATCCTGTTTTAATTTAACTGTGTCTTCATTGTCCAGAGTTTTAGAATCGGGATTTTCTGATTTTGGGCTAATGATTGGACTATGAACAGGCTCGCCTGAATCGACATCAGTCTCAACTGAGTTATCGTCTTTAAGCCATTCCTCAGTATCATGTACCGTAATGGCCACATCTTCAAACACAACTGTCTGTTCATTAGCGGCATCATGTAATGTTATAGTGTCTGTATCATCTTCAACAGCGATTGAAGGAATTACAACATTGTCATTGTCAATCTCATTTACCCTTTCTGAACCCTCCGTATCTATTATTTCAATGGCTTCGTTAGTTTTTACTTCCGGCATTGATGCTTCATGGACTTCCTCAATTTTGAGGACAGTTTCGGTGCACATTTCAAGCGTTGGTTGTTGCACGATGACTGGCGCTTCCTGGTGGACTACTGCACTTTCTTGGATTGTGACCTCACCTTGTGGGGAAACAAAGAGGCCTAAAAGACAGCAAAAACATTTCATATTAAAATTAATGATATGAAAAAATGTAATCAAAATATGAAAACAACATAAATTACAGAAATGAAACCACTGACTTTTAACTTTTAAATGGAAAGAACCATCTTTAATCTCTTTATTTTATTGACTTTTAACTTTTAAATGGAAAGAACCATCTTTAATCTCTTTATTTTAATTGGACATATAAATAATTAAAATTGAAATATTGATCCCAAACTTCAAACATATGTTATTTTTCAGTAATCACTGGCATTGACAAACTATTCCTATTTTCATTTATGTTAGGAGAGTTTGATACTGAAAACATTACCTGATTCGTCTGCATCTTCTAGGGCGTCAGAGGTTGATGATGTCACAGAGATAAAGCTGTCGGGACGACTATGACGAGAGTAATCTCCGCTACTCTGCATTAGATCCTGGGCAGCTTTGTTTTCTTTACGGAGAGTCTCTGCTTCTTCCTCTATGTTAAGTATTGCTTCCTAAAATAAGAAAATGAAAAATGAAAACGGAATTACTCTCCAATTTTTAAATTCATGTTATATTCATTATACAAAGTTTGTGTCTTCATTAAAAAACACACAAAATCAAGGAGCAGAACACTTTGAAATCAAAATGTGAGTTTATGAAACACTTATTACCCCTTTTCTTGTGTAAACATTATTTGATTTGAACATTCTTTTGAACCTTCACAGGCATGTGAAATGAACAACCACAGTCTACTTCGTGATTGACAATATGATCACTTACCATAAGCCTAGATAACTTGAGTCTTAAATTACTGCTAATGTCAAGTATTTGTTTGGTTGGCACGGTAACGGTATCAGCTTTACCACCACTAGCTCCCTCTGTTGAATGAAAAGTAAATCAATTTGAGAAATAACAAGATGAAAATCTGACACAACAAGTAAACAAGTAAAATATTTTCACTCCTTGACAACTTTTTAATCATGAATAAAAAATGTTCATCCCATTGAGTGTCCTATACTTCATTCTAAGCTAATTTCATTCATTCTTGGCTAATTCCATTGATTCACAGCTAATTTCATGAATGCCATCAAAATTTATTTTTACTGGAAATATACCTGATGCGACAGGAACTTCACTAATTCCCATGCTTTTACTGACAAGCTGGGTTAATTGGTCCGAGAGTGACTCGGTTGCCAGTAGCAACGCCCTTGGGTCTGTATTCTGTTGCTCAGCTATTGCAAACTGAAATAATGAAATCAAAATGCACATAATAATGGTATCTAAAATGCACATAAAATTCATTGCACTGGAATTTATGTTTAAGTAAGATTCCCAAAATTTTATGTAATTTTGGTTTTTATAAGTTAATTATACTTACCTATTATGTCATTACAATATGCTAAAAGCTACCATAGTCACCTTTTATTGGAACAATTATTTTCTACTTTCACTTTCACTTTCGGTTTCCCGGAAGCCCCGCCCACTTTACGTCATAGTTGCGCATGCGCACCATTCATTTTTCACTAGGTGAAACGCTTATTTTAAAGCTGATAAGCGGGGTGGCAAGGGAGGGCTTTTGATGTAATGACATAATAGGTAAGTATAATTAACTTATAAAAACCAAAATTACATAAAATTTTGGGATTTTACTACGTAAATTAATATCACTTACCAATTATGTCATTACAATATGCTGAATCCCACCAGAGCAGGTGGAGGGATATTAGCTTAGAAAATAAAATACTCCAAAAACAGCATTAACTGATTAGAATTCGTACTTGAATCACTATCCTTACCATAGGATATTAAGTTAAATAATTTTGCAACGCAAAACTAAAAGTAACAAGTGAAAATAATTTATCCAAGCACACTCCTTTGTTATTCATATCTTAATTATTGATAACAAATAAATGGATATGAATAACAAAAAACGTTCCACCTTTTATTGGTAGGATAATGAACTATAAGACTTTTAAACTTACTTAAACAGTTTTGTTCGCAGCAATGAAGTGGTTGCCTTCGAAGTCTTTCAAGGACACTTCCTTCAAGTAAAATGAAGCGAACGTGTTAAAGTTAGTCCATCTTCCAGCTTGAATAATCTCGTCTAGAGTGCAATTCTTCGCAAAAGCAATGGAAGTTGATAAGGCTCTGAGTTGGTGAGTTTTAACCTTATAAACCTGCTCAGCATGCTTGGGAAAAGACTGTAATGCCTTTGCTACACAATTCTTCACCCATGAAGTTATTGTGTTAGCATGTATCTCTTCTTTATAGCCTTTCTTGTATGATATAAACAATCTTTGTTGTTTATCTCTCATGGGCTTTGATCTTCTCATATAAACTTTTAATGCTCTAACAGGGCATAAAAGCTTATCATCTTGAAGATCTGGTGTCAAAAAACCTGTTAAGGCTTTTATCTCAATGTCCTTCAGGACAGTACCTCCAGCCTTTAGTAAGGTCTTGGGTACAAAGTCAGATTTGAATCCTAGAAAAATGGATTGCCAGTCAATACTATGTGACACCTTCTTAAGCACCAAGGCATGTATCTCACTGCGTCTTGCTGCAGATGCTAACAGAGTGAGAAAAACTGTTTTCCACGTGACAAATTTTAAATCAACTATCTCGATAGGTTCAAAAGGAGGTCTCATAAGACCTTGTAGGACCACATTTAAATCCCAGTTTGGAATTTTATTAGAGATATTCCTCGGTCTTTCTTGTTTGAAATTAGATAGCAAACAAGAAATCAAAGGATCTGAACCAATATCTAAATTCGAAGTTTCTTTCAGAGTATTACCTAAGGCTGTTCTGTATCCTGCTATAGTAACTGGTTGAAGTTTTCTATCTTCAAATAACCAATTCAGAAAATCGGCTACTACAGTAACAGAAGTTCTGAATGGATCTCTATTCCGTTCAGAACACCAACCAGCCCAGACTCTCCATTTCGAGTCATATACCTTGATCGAGGAGTTTCTTTGAGGTTTTGCAATTCTTTCTGCAACCTTGTTTGAAAAGCCTTTGTTTTTAAAGGATTGTTTGACAGCCTCCAAGCGTGAAGCTTGAATATTTGGGGATTTTGATGAAATACCCATTGTCTTGTCTGTTTCAACATTTTTGGAACTACTGGAATGTTTAGAGGTTTCTCTACAAGAGACTCTAACAGTCTGGGATACCATGCTTGTTTCTCCCATAATGGGGCAATGAGAATCATTTCCACATTTGTCGTTTGCAACATCTTGTTCAGAACAAGAGAGATTAATGGTGTCGGGGGAAAGGCATAAGCCCACAGACCTTTCCAATCCATACTTAGAGCATCTACCTCCCATGCTAGCGTATCCGGGACTGGTGACACAAATAGAGGTAATTTCGTGTTGTGTCGTGTCGCAAAAAGGTCTACTAGAGGTTTTCCCCATTTCCTGCAAATTGCATGGAAAATTTGATCTTTCAGACTCCACTCTGTTGACAGAATCTGAGACTTTCTGGACAGAGCATCTGCCAGAATGTTCAATCTCCCTGGAATATGACGTATTGTCATTTCTATATTGTTGACTTGATTCCATAGCAGAATTCTTTTTGTTACCTTGAATAACTGGTAAGAATGTGTGCCGCCTTGATTTTTCAAATAGGCCACAGTGGATGCATTGTCTGAGGATACTTGTATCCTTTTCCCCTGTACTTGAGGTTGAAAATGTTTGAGACTTAACTCTACTGCCATCAACTCCTTCATGTTGATGTGCAGGTTCAGATCTTGTTTGGACCACATCTTTGAAACTTCTAGATTTTCTAAATGTGCTCCCCAAGCTGTCATTGAACTGTCTGTGAACAGTTTTAGATCTACTGAATTCTGCATTTGAATCGGAACACCTTTCACAAGATTGTCCTTGTTTAGCCACCAGACTAAGTCTTGTCTTGTCATTTTGGACCATGGAATCAAAATGTTCATGTCCTTTGAGGCATTCCAATTTCTCTGGAGATCGTATTGCATCTCCCTCATGAACAATCTCCCTAATGGCACAATTTTCTCTGTTGCCGCTAGGAGACCCAAAATTCTTTTCCAGAATTTTGCTGTTTGTAAAGGTTTCGCTAGGAAACGCTGTATCTCTGTTTCGAGTAACTTCACTCTGTATTGAGTGGGTAAAATTAGACCTTTCTTTAGGTCGTAAAGTGAGCCCAGGTAAGTAAGTTGCTGAGTTGGATTTAACTCTGACTTCTCCAGATTTAGGAGAAAGCCTAACTTTTTCGTTAAGTTGCACACAGTCTGCGTGTTCTCTGAACTTACTTGGTGTGATGATGCTATTATCATCCAATCGTCGAGATATTGGAACATCTTTATATTTATTGAATGAAGGAATTTTTTGATCTGAGAAACTATCTCTGTGAAAATTAAAGGAGCTGTTGCTAGACCAAATGGAAGACATTTCCATTGGAAGACTCCCCGACCTTTCACGGCAAATCTCAGATATTTCTGGTGAGACCTGGCGATAGGGACATGCAAATAGGCCTGTCGAAGGTCTATAGAAGTCATGTACATTCCCTTCTCCAGATTTCTTTTGATGATTTCTGGAGTGTCCATCTTGAATGATGGGACATTCAGAAAAAGATTTAGAGTTGACAGGTCTGTCACGGGTCTCCATTTGTCGGATGACTTTTTTGGAACCAGAAATATTCGACTGTAAAAACCTGGGGAAGAAATGTCTTCTACTTGTTCTATAGCATTCTCCTCTAGGAGAGTGTTTATTAGGTCGAAAACTGCCGCTCTTTTTAGAGGATTGTGGAATTCTGACCAAAGGGGAGTCTTTTGTAACTTTGGCTTTTCTTTGAATGGAAGATAATAGCCTTCTTTTAAAAGGTTTATCACTTTTGCCGAAGCATTTATTTGACTCCATTCCTGCCAGAATTCCATCAACCTCCCACCTACTTTGTCGTTTGACGATGTATGGAGGTAATTTTCGACCTGGAATAAGTCACTGTTTATCAGTGGACTTTCCTCTACCGACAGATTTACCTCTGCCTCTTCCTCGAGAAAAACCCTTTGAACCCCGTCCTTTTCCACGAAAAGAACTATCTTTGTTCTGGAACTTATTGGAAGTTTTGGGTTTGTTTTTGTCCTCCTTTTTAGAGGTGTAGTCAAGAATTTGATTCTGCGCTATATCATTTTTAGCTTTCCTCAAATTTTCTTTCACTTTGGCCAAGTTGTCTTGAAACAACTTGCCAGTTTGGGGCTCAAGAGTCATAAGTTCTTTGAGATCTGCAAAGGGGATATCTTTATCTGCCTTCATGGAAAGGTAAGAATGTCTCCTGCATGCTACTATTTGATTGAGCAAAAAAGCATTAAGACGATACCCATCCTCAATGCAGTGACCAGCTGCTTTAATTAATGTCAAAGCCTGTTCTATTTTCTGACATATAGAAGGATCCATTCCTTCCTCTTTTAACAGATCCTCAAACAGTGGTTTAACGGAACCAATGAACCATTCAGTGTGAGAGGAAGTAACTAGATTTTCTCTAGACACACCCTCCCAATCTGTCAATGTCTTCAATGACAGATTCGCAAAATGAGGGTCTAATTTGGCCTTTTGCGAATCATTCTTCTTGAATGTTTTGGCAATGGACGAAAAATCTTCGTCTATTTTACAGGGTTCAAACTTATCCTCATCTGGTACGATTTGGTATAAGGCTTTAGGAAGTTTGTATCTTTTCTTACAAAGATTCGGTAAATCTTTGGAAAAGGCATCCTGGGGTAAGTCGTTAAAGATTTTGACTCCTTCAATCAAGTTGTTCTTTACACCTGGGCAAAGTGGCAGTTGTAAAGAATTAGTCAATACTGAAGGTTTATCTTTCACTAGAGACCAAGATTTGACCTTATTCTTAGGTGTTGACATCTCTGCTATCTCAGGGAAAGATTTTTTAACGACTTCAGTGGCTGCCAAAAATTCTAATTTGGCTCTTGCCACCTCATTTGATGGCTTAGTATCAGGATCTTCCTGTTCACCATCATTCTCCAACTCTATAGTAACTGAATCATCGTCTCTATTGAGAGAAATGGTTCTTGTAAGAGAAGGAGGTGATTTAAATTGATGATCATCATTTATTTGAATGTGATCATCCTTTTCTTGTGTGTGATCATCATTTACTTGAGTGTGATCATCATTCACAGACCATGGCCTTGACTGTGTTTTCTTGGAAATATTTTGAGGTATGTATGCAGATCCTGCATACATCGCTCTCAGAACTTGCTGGTCTTGCAAGAAATTCTGAAACATTTCCTGTCTCTGATCAATTCTCGGATTGATAAATTGATCTCTCTCCCATTGATACTTATCGTATCTGGGTGAATCTTTATCATTTCTGTAACGTCTCCTTTTAGGACTTATAGAAGGAGATTGTTTACGATAGTATCTCTTCTTTGGACTTAAAGAAGGAGATCTATGAGACCTATAAGCAGATCTATGATGTGAAGATTTGTGTCTTTTCCTCGGACTTGAGGACAAAGACTTTGATCTAGACCTAGACTTTGATCTATGTTTGTACTTGTATCTAGACCTGGACTTAGATCTAGACCTTTTACGATTGTGAAGTCTATCTTTAGATCTGTATCTCACCCTCGGACTTGAGGAATGAGAACGTGATCTCCTTGATCTAGACCTGGATCTAGACCTGGATCTCGATCTGTATCTACCCCTCGGACTTGAGGAAATAGATTTAGTTCTGTGACGTCGCCGTTTAGGAGAAGCCGAATCTCTGTGACGATGTCTTTTACGTCTTTTAAACGAAGTGTCAGAGTCTGACCTACTAGAAATTGAAGTACTTCGACTTTCTCTACGGCCACGCCGGTCTTTTTCTAGAACTTTAGACTTCACAACCGGTGATTTACCTTTGTTCGAGCGCGCTGGGCTAACTCGTGGATCACCCTGGGTATTAACCCCTTCTGTTGTATCTAACTGCGTTGTATTCGTCGACATAGTAGACTTGTAACGCTCGTTTTTGGACCAATTTATCGCACTTTTGAAAATTTTGTGTGACTTTCAAAATGGTAGAAAAATGAATGGTGCGCATGCGCAACTATGACGTAAAGTGGGCGGGGCTTCCGGGAAACCGAAAGTGAAAGTGAAAGTAGAAAATAATTGTTCCAATAAAAGGTGACTATGGTAGCTTTTAGCATATTGTAATGACATAATTGGTAAGTGATATTAATTTACGTAGTAAAAGATAGGTTTCACATTTTTAATCTGAATCTACATGAAATAAACACATACAGATGCACAAAAATAGACTGCAGACAGGGAAAATGCCTATTGTCGATAATTAAAATTACATTTCTGCAGTTGACACACAGGGAGGGGTAAAAATTCAAAATTCAGACACAAAGTGAGAAAATCAGGACAGATTACTCTTAGAAATCATCAATTTGGGTTGATGGGACTATGGGTGTAAGATTAAGAACGGGGGGGGGGGGGGGGGGTACATACCTCTGTTATGTGGTCTACTGCTTCTACTGGTACATTGAGGATCTCAGCTCGAACTTTCTTTTTCTCAGCCATCGTATTATCGATTATTCTGTCAAGCTCATCTTTGCGACTCAATGGGTCTGGAAAAGAAATTCATGTTTTTTACAATTTCTTCTTAATGACATAACAATAGTTTTTGTTCTTTGAGATACCATTTGTATGTGAAGTGTATTTAGACCATGTGTTATGCATATATTATGGGACGTGGGAGTCAAATACAAATAATGTTTTTAATACATGTTACATGAACATAATTCAGTTATACATTTTAGCTCATTCTCCCAGAATTAACAGTACCTCAGAAACGTTTAACTTGTCCTGTTAAACTGGCTCTACACAAATGTTTTGGCATAGCAGCCTATAAATGTGTTTTCTAGTTTTAGCTCTTTAACAAAAAATTTTCAATGGGAGTAAAAAGGGAGTGATTTCATTAGTCAGTGATCTCACCATAATTCTTTTCTCAAGTGGGTGCAAATTTGACTACACTTTATCAAAATGTTCCAATTTTGAAATTGAAGTGGATGCAAGCCTATTTTCAAAATCGCCATCAAATATTCACCTTGTGTTGGATGTTCCTCACCGCCAGCAGTGTGGATTTGTTCAACACGAGAAAAGACCGCATTAGAAACAACAACCTCATTTGGATGAATCAAGGTTTGACTCTCGTCTGAGACTTGCAGGACTTCAACAATATTTTCATCTTTTTCGATATTCTCGATGCTGTCTAAAGAGCCATTGATTTTATCACGATCGTATATAGTCGTAGTTGGATCACTGAAAAAAAAAATTATTACATGAGAAATATTCAATTTCACATCAAATCTTATTCACACTTAAAATGAATTTAACAAAACATGGCCTTGATATTGGCCTCAATATTTTTTGAGAATTTTTTTGTGTCTATTTTGGAAGTTTATGTCTATGAACAAATTCATTAATAAAAACTGATCAGAAAATAAATACAAGTCATAAAACTATTTTGGTCAGCTTTCAATTTCTTCAACAAAGTTATTTAATTTAAAGTCTTTAATATCATCAATGTGATCTCACCTATTTTTATCTGTTTTATTATTTTCTTTGCTGTCAACCACAGTGGTAACAATAGGACCTTGGGGCTGTATTTCACCCCCAGGTTTAGGCGTGGCTTTACCCCCTTTGCCCTTGTACGCCTCAGCAGCTTCAGTTATGTATTTAAACCATCTACAAGTACATAAAACATAAGATGATTAGATATAAGTGATTGATTGAAAAGTTGATTGATTGATTTGTTGATAGATTGCTTGGTTGATTGCTTGGTATGTATACATTTAACCTAGTTACATATATGATCAGTAACAACACATATGAGTATAAACTCGATTATGAATTACATGTTTTATAAGTTTAAAACAATTCACTCCTTTCCTTTCATACATGACTAGAACTATGGTAACCTGTTTAAATTGTTTACCTTTTGAAAAAAGTGTTTTATTTCAGAGGTGTTCTACTTATAGAGGTCCATTTAACACTAAGTCCATTGATCATGGGACTCTAAAGTGTTCTACTAAAATATTGAGGTGTTCCTATTACTGAGGTATTCTGCTTTATAGGTGTTACTGTTTATTACAATCAGAAATAGAAATATCTACATAGAACTACAAATATACCAGCGTTCTCTCAGGAATTCTTCTCATTCAACCTAAGTGCAACTTCTCAAATTCAACTATTAAATTGATTTCTGACAAAAAATGTCAACCTAACCCAGGAATGAACTCAAAAATCCGAGAGTAAAAATGCTAGAAAATAAAACAAAAATCTGAGAAATAACTTGGATTACATATAACATAACATAACCAACGTACCCAACCTCAAATATTGGTAGTTTCCTGTGAGATGTTACAGTCCATTGAAAACATGGAGAATTCAACAAAAATAGCCTAATCTAAGACATATGATTGCAAGGTAAACATCTTTAACATCTGAAGTTCAATGTTAACCTTGTTAGACTGTCAATCAGAATTATGGGTAATATAAAGGATGCCACATCCCATGATGCAATTTTGGAATGATAATATCAAGAACCCAGAATTCAGCATAGAAAAGAAAATGCAATTTTGTGTCTAAAATTAGCGCTAAATAAATGAACAGCCTTCGCAGGAGAAAAATGTCACGGTATAAAATCAACATCAAAAAGATTGGCTTCAAGGACCCAAGTGAACAAGAATGTAGTCAACACTTTAAATTGTATAGAAATGCAAGAATTCAGACACACGTAAATATTAGTATGAGTGAAGTAGATTATTAAAAAATGTAATCAAGTCGAGAGTTCCTTATATAAATATAAATTAATAATTCTCATGAACAAAATGTCAGGATTACCCTATTTCAAAATGCAAAATAGAATGAAAAAGAGTGAAATCAACAAGAAATCAAGGAATAAAGTACACAGACATATAGTAATTAACACTTAAAATTATATAGAAATGCAAGAAAATCAGACAGTTCATTCAGATTTTTGAGAGGAAAGATGAAATATACACGAGCAAGCAAAAATATTCGAGTTATCACCCTGAGGAAATACCTACAACTTGTAACACTACTCGAAGATCAGCACAAAAAGAATTTAATTTTCTATAAATCTTTGCTTAAAAGCTCAGGGAACTTTAAATAATCAACCCTTACCATCAAGAACATTTATATATCATTATAAATACAAAAAATATTAATACAAAGAAATACAAGAAATGACATGAATGATATGAAACTGGACAAAATGATGCAAACAATATCCAACAAAAATATACTAGAAAATGAAATTCAGTTTGATTTTTCGAAAATATCAATGAAAAAATATTGAAACAAGTTTTAATAAGAGTTCAATTCTAATCTACAGACTGAAATAAGAAATCATTTCCTGGATTTTATCTATAAATAATTTTCAAAGAGTGTTGAATTCAAATCCTAATCTGGCCATGCCTTAACCATCCCTGAGGCATTTATTATCAAAAGTTAAGTGAACTGATTGATGGATTTTCTGTGTAATTCTATTGAATTGTATTTTGGTTACCCCCATATTTTCACGAGCAATACCTCATCGGTATATTTCCGTATTTTACGTATTTACACTCAGAGCCAGAAACCTCTCCTTGGAGGAGCCATGGGTTCTTTTTATGTGCCTTTTATACAAGTTGTTGACCACTCAGTCAAACACCCAGAATTACATAACGCACAAACAAATTTGTCTGAACCAGGAACCGAACCCGGGGCCAAGCGATAGTGGTAACCTTAGCTTATTTGACATTTCAACTTTATTCCTCGCTTAATCCTCTCTTCACAATTCTATTTCTCCCTTTAGAACCAAACCACTTGAAATTTTCTTATAAGCTTGACCTCCAGAAATTTTAATAAGCTGAAATTTATTAGATATTATCTATTCAATGTTCTTCAAGAGTTGATCGAACTAAAAGTTCTGAATGACCCTTATAAGTTAACAAGAAAGGAAAACTTTAAAGATATCTATTGAGAAAAAAAGTTCCAAGAATTAGTCTCAAATATAATTTCGCCTAATGTAGGATCACTCCCATAATGCAGTGCATATATAACAAAATGCAACATGGGATAGTCATTCTTCTTCAGGACATACAAATTGCCAAAAATGTCAAAAGTGCTAGAAATGACAAATATACTTGATTAAACATCAGAAAAAGCTCCTATGTTTACAAAGCTTAAGAAACAAAACCAATAATCCAAATCTGAGGTTAGTTCTTATCTTCATTAATACCTTAATGACCAATGCAACTAGGAAAAAGTCCTGTTTAAATGATACTTAATCTATGACAAATATTTTCTCTGGTCATCACTATTTCTCATGTCTCTCTAAAATTTGAATGAAGTGTCTGATTTTTCGTATTTTTATACAATATAATTGCCTGTTTAGTTTATTTATTTATTTTTCCTTTCCAATTCCTCTTATTTCTTGCTGATTCCATTCTGTTGCTTTTTAAAGATGTAAAAAAGAACACTTTTTTAGAAGGGAACACCTCTCAAGAACACCCTAATAATATGTATTTGATGAACATTCATTATTTACCTAAAAGATTTTTACCATCAAATCTAATCAAAGTGAACAGGCAAAAATACCTAAGATAATTTCAGAAGCATTTCTGAATTCCAGGGAACGTGATTTTCGTAGAAAGCTTGAGTATTGTTAATCTAACTGACAGATATCGACCCGCTACGATTTGACATATACTCCAATAAACATATTTGAAAAAAGCTATTTTGATACCAGTCAAAACAAAGTGAAGAAGAAAAATATATTTCCCTGACGTTTTTTCGATACCTATCTACAATCTCCCAATTTACAAGTTCGCAGTCTTCAATTGGCCAAATCTGTTTTCCATTGAGCCTGTTAGTGTTTGGAAACATTCCATAACTTCAACTGTTACAAATAGAAATAAAAAAAAAACAGTAAAACCTTTATATCCAAACACCTGTCTAATCTGAACACCTCTCTGGGTCATCACTATTTTCAAACACCTCTCTAATCTGAACACCTCTCTAGGTCAACACTTTTTTCAAACATCTCTCTTTGTCAACACTTTTTTCTGGGCCAATCTTTTAACCTGCCATATACTTCCATGTTAAAACACCTTGAAATGTGAACACCTGCCATTCTGTACACTTTTGACCCTCAAGTGTTCAGTTTAGATAAAATTTACTATAGATGTTTTGGACATAAATTAGAATATTTTGAATGCAAATAGCAACGGATCAAGTAAACTTCCTTTAGTAAATGAAATACTGGAATTTTGAATATGAGGTAAAATCTGAATCCTAGTGCAAAGATAGAATTTTTGGAATTTTTATACAATCTAAATGTTTATTACTGTAATCCATGGGAATTCCACTATGTTTCATCTTATTTTGAATTGTGAGATTCCCAGGAACAAAATTTTCCCTGGTAAAAATATAAGGGAACTAAACAACTAATAATACTGGTCTAAAGAAGATAACTGAACTACAGTGAACTTATTCCCCTTTTACTGAACTGAAAAATATCAAAGCTAAATTCTATTTTTGGATCATAACAAGGTAATTAGTACGTTAAAAGATTCCCAGAAAACCACATTGAGAACTTACGAAAGGTAACTTAGAAGAACTCAAAACAACTATTACTGAAGGTTAAAGAGTTTCCAACATAAATGAACATAAAGTCATGATTTGAAATGAATGATGAAATTATCTGACATGGTAAAAACAAAATTTGGCTCACGATGAGAAAAAATGGAAGCTGTGCTTTTGACTGTGTTACTACTGACACACACTGTAAAATATTTCATTAAGTAATAGCTCAAATTGATTGAGTCTTAAGTTATATGTTTTTGGCATGTTTTAAGGATTCTAAAAATAGAAATGGGCAATTAATAGTATTCAGACTCGAGCATTTTTTGAAAGTATGGGTTTTACTATAGGTGAAAGGATTAATTATATATTTTACTGCAGTTTGTATCCAATAATTATCAATTTGCCTCAATATAATTGTCAATATGCCTCAATATAACTGTCAATTTGCCTCAATAGAATTATCGATTTGCCTCAATAGAATTGTCAATTTACCTCAATATAATTGTCAATTTGCCTCAATATAATTGTCAATTTGCCTCAATAGAATTGTCAATTTGCCTCAATATAATTGTCAATTTGCCTCAATAGAATTTTCAATTTGCCTCAATAGAATTGTCAATTTGCCTCAACAGTCATCCTGCTCCAGTTTCAACATCATGTTAAAGTCCATTGAATTTGTGAAAAGGACAGGTTCATGAATATACAGGTTTTACTGTATCATTTAAAAGAACATATGAATTAATATCAAATTTATCATGAATGGTGAATAGTAATTTCAATATCAAAGATTCCATCACGAGACAGCCATCCATCCCACAAATGAAATCTATCACGCTTTTTTGCCAATTCAAGAAAAAATATGGGAATGGGGTAAAAATCACATGTACAGGAATCCTACACTATCTTTAAATTGTCCAAAAATGTGAGAAACCCAAGCTTTTGTTTATTTTTGAGTAATACCTAAAATTTATCCCAAGAAATTGTATGCAAAGGTTTACATCATTTATGGTTGGTAACAGCTTGGGAGCATTGATCAACATTAAAGGTCATCTTTACATCTTGAAAAAAAGATTTATATATCTCATAATTTCTTA